TCGTTCTGGCAGGTATTCGGTCTGCTTGCTCCGGCTTCTGTTTGGTATGCCGTGGGGTTGACGTACAGAACAGGGCTGTCTCTACACCCACGGATCTCTTGTGCGAATAGAAAACGTGATTTCCCTCGAATTAACATATCGCAGTCCTGAATTTTTAATCGAGTTGATAACAAAATGTAGAATCTTCTACTCCTCGCGTAGTCGCAAAATCATTTTGTCAAAGCAGGAAAATGTAAATTGATAACAGAAAATTTATTAATTAACCCATAGATTAAAGAAAGATTAATTTGTCTAAGAGTACGAAATTAATAAAAATTAAGAAAATATGTTGAAGGATGCCACCCAGTTAAAAATGCAAATTTGAAATACAAAGCGACAGAGGAAATATAGTCAATTAATCTAAAGAAATAACGAGAAAGATTGATTTATCTAAGAAATACCAAGTTAATAAAAATTAAGAAAATATGTGAAGGATTTCTCCTTTTAATTAAAGATACAAAATTTGAAATATAAATCGACAGAAGAAAGATTTATATTTATTATTCATTTAAGAATTATAAATTTAATAAAAAATTAAAGAAATATGAGAAAGATTGCCTCTCTCTCTCTCTCTCTCTCTCTCTCTCTCTCTCTCTCTCTCTCTGTCTCTCTTCAATTGTAAAATACATAAACTTGAAATATATTTTCTACATATATAATACGTGTATAGATATATGAAGAAGTGCTTCACTCTAATTCTAAAATTTCTAAACTGGGGAAATTTTATGCTACGGGCAGTACGCGGGCCGAGTCTACGGTAGCCGGTACTGTTTATTCGTAACGAGAGAGTCCATCGTGCGCTTCGTCGTAGCAGTGAATGCTGATCACGGGATATCGTGCGGGTTAAGTGTCTTACCGGGCCTACCGCGCTGCGCGTGTTTACTCGGAACACAGAAGCGCTCAGCTCAAGTCCTCGCCAGCCTACGTATACCGCGTTTGTTCACGCAGCGCTCGTCGAGCTGGGAAATTGCGCTGAAGCGCGCGCTTAAAGTGCGTACACTTGTACTAAGAAACTTTGGCAAACGGTTTCGATAATTCACCGGAGACGATCAGTAGCCCGCGTGCATGAGCGCGCGCGCGCGCTCACGCACACACACACACACACGCGCGCGCGCGCGCGCGCACACACACACACACAGAGGTCCGTTTAAAAAGACCGCAAAACGAATAGTTCGTAAATATCTGTGTCGAGCCAGTGGATTTGCTTAGAATTTATATTCTCTAAATAAATTATACTCTCTGAATTTATACTCTCTGAATCAGTGAGATTCGACTGAAAAAAGAAAGAAATTCGAGCGTTTCGTGTGATTAAACTATCGATATTTGCACGTCCGCTCCAATATCATATCCATTGAATTTATACATTAAAGCAAGGTTAGCTAGATTAAGGATTCCACATTTGATTGATTTTTTTACTTGAATTTCGCTGTGAATGTACTAATTCTCAGTGGCGTATTTGGGATTGATATCACAGTGGACAGATTAGCCACTGATTCAGATTTAGAGAATACAGATCCTAATATCCTTCTTTTTACTTTAAATTAAAATATAGATCGAAACAAAAAATTTCATAGCGCTATTTCATTTGTATCATGTTTTTAAAAAATTATTATTATTATTTTACAATTATACCTGTTTCTTGAATTGCAATACGATTATTTTTAACTAAATTATGAGCAATTAAAGTTAAAATGTTATCCTTTTTATTTAATCCGCGATAATTCAATAACAAAAAATTTTAGGAAATTTTAAAAAAACGATTTTATAGGAAAAATTTTTAGTTTTTACAATAAACAGTC